GAACTGCCGGGAGAGTTGTTCATATGAGTCGATGGTGCCCGGCCTCAGCTGGCCGAACCACTCTTGCGCCGGCCCCCTGAGGGTGCTGAAGAACAACCTGCAGATGGCCTCGTCTGATGCTCCCAGCATGGACAGGTTCCCTTGGTAGCTTATCAGATGGGCCTTGGGGTCGCCAGCCCCATTGTACACCAAGTTGCCCGGGGGCCTGCAGTCCCGGGGAATCTCGACGCTCATCACCCGTGGAGTGAAGGGTGATGTGAGAGAGAAAGAGGGAGTGGCCGAGCCGACGTCCGCCCGCCTATTCATCTCGGCTATCTGCCTCTCCATGGCCTCCAACCTTGCATCCTGTGCGGCCCTTTCGGGGGACACAGGGGGCGCGGTCTCGGGGACGGCGTTCTGCTGAGCGGCCACAGCCTCGTGCGGCCGCCTGAAGATCTGTGCGCCTCGCCGTTGGAAACGTCGTCCAACGGCGTTGAACCTCGGGGTTTCGTCCCCCCGCGGGATCTGGCGAGGAACCGATGGCGTGAGAGCTCTAGATGCGGCGATGCTGACCCTGGTTCGCCCTCCCGTTTCACGGGAGCCTGAACCCCCACCTAGCCGCTCGTGGACAGAGGGCCGGTGATCGCTGGATCCCGTCGTATCATCATACGACTGCATGCGGCGTATGGGAGAGAGGGGTGTTCGCTGGGTGCTTGCAGAGTACACCTGATCTCGGGCCTCCCGCTCGTCCGCCAAGCGACGCATGGTGTCTGCGAGTTCCCGCATGAGGCGGGGATCCTGCCTGGCCTCCAGGGGAATGAGGTCAGTGATACCCCCGTTCCCCCCGGAGGTCCATATTGTTGCGGACCGTTCCGAATTCTGGCCGCGATTCCGGCGGCTTGACTCCAGACGTTCGGAGAGATCGCGCTGGTCGTTGCTTCCTGACATCGTGTTCGCCGTGGGTAGATTTAGTAGCTGTTTGGGAGAGTTTCTGGAAACTTTTTGTTCAGTTTCCCACAGACGGCGCCAGTGTTGAGGTTTATTCCTTCAACCTTCAGGCCCAACACGTAAGCCCAAAGATTTCGAGTGGAGTAAGCGTATGAATTTCTAGCCCAACAACTATCCGATGGATCAGGAATCAAGAGTAATAGCAGGCAATGTAAATAGGTATTATTAACTTCGTAATAACTCCCCTAAGTACAATCTACTTGCTACAAGGGCACGTCGGCCGTTCGTCTTACAAGGCAGCTAGAAATGCTACAAGTAAGAATGCTGAAGCTAGTATGCTAAGAATAGAAAGTTGCCAACCCTTTACAATGAAATAAATGCTTCTATTTATACCCGCCAATGGGCAGGTGGCTGTACTGACGTGGCAGCCTGTGGACCGCTGGTGTCCCAACTACCAAATCTTCAGCATTAAATGCACTTCCCGCCAGAATCTAGGTTTCCCGCCGGATCAGTGGGGACGTTCGTCCACCCGGGAAGTGAGTTGGATTGCTCCAAGTGACCCTTGAGGGATATTGGCTGTTCGTCTCCTGGCCTTGATAGATACTCACCATGTGCACTGGGTTTTCTCCGATGACTACAGGCTTGCTCTGGGGACGTTCGTCGTCATCCCTGGTGGCCCGTGGCTCTGCTCCTTGTCCCTGCATAGACGTTCGTCGGAATGAGCTGCTGGGCCTGAGTCCTCCAACACCAGACGTTCATCCATTCTTAAAGAACGTGGGCCTGTGGGCTGGCCTAGTTTCTAGCTGGACGCTCGTCTGGCAAAACGGGTTAGTGGGCCGGGCCTCGGCTTGGGCCCTTAACCCAACACAGGTCAAAGATCATCCAAGGGATCAAGATTGGACCTTATAAGATCAAGGAAAGTGCAAGGAGACAAGAAAGATTTCGATTTGGAAAAAATACTCATGTACCCAGTCGGGTATTGCCTATACCAAATCGGGTATTCACTTGATCCGATTGTCCAAATCAAATCCGGGAACAAATGATCGTGGGAGCAAATTTTCGTGAAGATTTGTCACATACCCGATCGGGTATGCCGACATACCCGATCGGGTATGCCCAAAAAAGTGATGTTCTGGGAAATTTCCTAAGATACCCGATCGGGTATCCTATATACCCGATCGGGTATCAGACCCTGCAACTCCCAAAAGCTTATAAATACACCTCTTTCCTTCACAATAAAATCACCAATTCACATATACTCTTTAGCTCAATTTAGATTAGTGTTTTCTTTATATTTTCTATCACGTTTAGTCTCCAAATGAGGAGCTAAACTCTTCCATCTTGGTTTTGCTACTTTGAAGCTTAATGAATTTGTAAGTTGTGAGTTATCCTCTTTAATCTTCTTCCTTGAATATTAATTCTTCCTTTAAATACTATTTCTATATCAATGTTGGGGAGTGTTACTAAGATGACAATTAGTTAACATCTTGACATTAGTTATAATAATAGTTATTTCTTCCTCTACGTTAATATTGGGGAGTGTTACTAAGATGACAATTAGTTAACATCTTGATATTAACTATAGTAGGATTCATCTTCTTTAATATTCTTCCTTGAGTATTAATTAATTCCTATTCATATTTCATATTAATATTTTGAACATTACTTAAAGGATCAACTAGTTTTGTTTCATATATTAATTATTACTAGAATCGATCGACGAATACGCTTGTTAATCGTTCGATCGTTTCACGGTAGTAAACTTGGGTTATTAATGCATGCGTTTCATGGTTAATAAACCAAGGGGAATTAATTATGTTGATTAAACCAATAAACCGCTTGTGTTGAGGTTATCAATATCAATCGTTTTCACTTGATTTTATTGCTACTATCGAGTGAATATACGGCGCGTGTTCTATATTAACTCGGTAGTAAGTTTTGTTAATGAACGCGTCTCGTTATTAATAACTACCCTCGATGAATTGGATATACTCCTCGATTGAGTATTCGAGAGGAATATAGTTAAAGATATAACCGGGATCGACGAACATTTAATTAAGTGGATAAAAGCAAAACCAAGTCTTCTTCTCATTAATTAAACCACATAAGTCGTTCATCTTCGTGTTTAAATATAATTTAAAGTTCATCAGCCAATCATAAAAACCCTCCTTGTTATTTATTTCTAGTTCTATAAAAAGAGAAGTGTTCCTTTCCCGGCCTGTGGATACAAACCTTACTACACTATACTACGTATTAGTGTCGTATTGATTATTATTTTGAGTGCATACATGACAAAGTGCACGTCAACCACATAACATATTCTTGGCACGACGTCGTGCTAAATAACTGGTGACAAGGTGGCATTGACACAGATTCAACGTATCCGTAGCGTGCTAAATACCCTATGAATTTTGTCAAATCCGTGTCATACTGTCAAATACCCTATGAATTTTGGCAAGCCGGTGTCAATTCTATTGTTTGTTGTAGTGTGAGCCTGATTCACCTCACTCTTAATGTGCACAACCCAACTCACAAGGATATCATTTAATGTACTTTTATTAAAAGTTAACACCCACACTATTTTTATCTCTTTTTCGTCAGCTCTCTTTCATTTCCATCGCCAGCTTTCTTCCTCACGCCTCTCTTCTGTCTCAAGCGTCAAAGCCAGTGATTATAATAATCAATTAAATGTATTTCAGCTATTGGTTCACATGTATCTCCTCCTCTTATTCCTCCCTCTCCTCCTCTCGGATTTTCATTTTCGCAAATAATTTATTCCGTTTTTTGTCGTTTTGTACTTTTGAAAATTCTGATATGTTTTTGTCAGAAAAAGCGGTGGGACACACCTAATAATACTAACATGATGAAATTATGGCTACTTTTTCCGAGGTGGCAATAATAACGCTGTCATGATGACAATATAACTAACTTTAACTAAAATGCCAAATTTGAACACGCCAGATTCATCATGTTCAAATTACAACTATAACCTCAAATTTAATTTAACACGTCAACATATTTTTTATGAATATATAATGTTTTGTGTTCTCATACTATCGGAAATGAAAAATTAATGTTAAATATTTTGTGGGATGACAGTGTAATTTTGTAATTCTTTTCGTGTATTTTTATACAATATAATGAGACTTTTTGGATAATTTTGCTACAATAATATTATCAGGTGACCCTAGGTTGGCATTTGGTTGTTGTTTCAATGTTCACCTAGTGCAAGATTTTTATATACTCTACAACAATAACATTTAAATTTTAATTCCAAAAAATGCCGAGCCATGAATCGATGCATAATATCGAAATAGAAAAGGAAAAAAAGATAAAAAGATAAGATAAAACAAAATAATACTATTAGTCGTCACGCGCCTGTCACATCTTCCATTCTTCCTCCTTCTCTATTGTCACATGTTCCTCCTCTATTTATTTGCTTTAGATAAAGAAAATTAGATTTCTTATTAAAACATTGTGATAAACACAATGGAGAATGGAGATAGGGACTTCTAATTTTGATTTAATTTACATTTTACTCCTATTTAGAAATGGGAAAAGTGTCGAATAGGTCCTCGAACTTTCATAAAAAAGTCAATTAAGCCCTTCTATAGGAAACTCTGTCCGGTCTTCGCGATTTGGGACGGTTCCCGGTGGAATTTTTTGATGAAATTTTTTGAGCATTTTATTCATCAAGTCTAGTTTACTCATACCAAATTTCAGCTAAAAATTTAATCGCGAGCGCATTCAAATTAATTCGAGAACGCAAAAATGCGCAGTTATCTTCAAGAATTAATTTGAATGTGTTCCCGATTGAATTTTTAGCTGAAATTTGGTATGAGTAAACTAGACTTGGTGAAGAAGATGCTCAAAAAATTTCATCAAAAAATTCCACCAGGAACTGCCCCAAATCGCGATGGCTGGACAGAACCTCCTATAGAAGGACTTAATTGACCTTTTTATGAAAGTTCGAGGACCTATTTGACAGTTTTCCCTTTAGAAATTGATTGATTCTGTCTTAATTGGTCCACGCTTTGAAGGGACGTGATTTTGCCTTGATAAAAAGGAACAAGGGGAAAATGGTTTATCCTTTAAGGGCACATCTTCAAAAGGCAGTCCCCTTTCCAGTTTCTACCCCAGATTCTCAGTCTCCCCACCCTTCACTTTTCTCGTAAACTTCACCATTGAAGATATACCAGAACGAACCCCCCTTAACAAAGAAAGGAGAGAAATGCTGTCAAGAGCCAATAGCATGGTGTGGGTAGATGGGGGAGAGGATGAACAAACTGGTTCCTGGGCACTGAATAGCAGCTCCACAAATGGCAACCCCCACAGTGGATTAGCCGGCAAAGATGAAATGGAGATGGAGACCATCAGGTCCATGCTGGAATCCCAAGAAGTGGATTGGTACATGGCCAGCAGCCAACACCATGCTGCACCAGCCACCATGCAAGGCGGCGGCCATGGAGACATCTCATTCTCTCCTTCATCTTCTTCTCTGTTCAACACCTTTGACCCCTCTCAGATAAACTACTTCTTCTCCCCCAAACCCACCGTTTTGAACCCTCCTCCCATGGATCATAATGGGTTTAATTTGGGGTGTGAGGGTTTGTTTCTGGAAACCCAACAACCTTTGTCTGGTTTGGATGGTGGGTTCGGGGATTTCACCCCTCCGAACGTGAATTCCCTTCCTCAATTCAGCTCAACCGCCCCCTTTCTCAACAATGGTGGAGGGTTTGTTGGTCCAATAGGGTTTGGTGAGGGGAACTCCAGTGAGAATGCTTTGTTGTTTCATAGCGGCAGGTCCAAGCTGTTAAGGCCGCTTAATAATCCTGGTTCAATTGGGGGACAACCCACCCTCTTCCAGAAGAGGGCTGCTTCTCTTAAGAAGAACCTTGTTTCGATTGGCCAGACTTGTAGCATTAGTCTTGACAGCTTTGATAAGAAAAGGAAAGGGAACATTGGGGAGGAGGATGAAGTGGAGGATGATGATGGTGGGTCGACTTTTATATATGATTCTGATGAAGGTGCTAAGAAGAGTGCTGGAGATGGCACTGTCACTGGAGGTGACCAGAAAGGTAAGAAGAAGAAAGGGCTCCCGGCCAAGAATTTGATGGCGGAAAGGCGCAGGAGGAAGAAGCTCAATGATAGACTTTACATGCTTAGGTCCGTTGTCCCAAAGATTAGTAAGGTAAGCACAATTCATTGCAGCAAATTCTCAAGCAAAAGGCAAAATTCAATAGATATTTCTACATTTATCAGCAGCAGTTCAAGCTCATAGGTCCCCTTGATTGCCTTTTTTCTTAAAGATTTTAAATTTATGTTGCTTAGTAATTTTCCCCTCTTTTTTTCCTTTCTTTTTTATAAGTTGGTGTTTTTTGCATTATTTGATTATGCTGTTCATATTTTTCTAAAGAGTAGCATGTTATTTAAAATTATGTATGTATGAAATTAAATATCTACAAAATATTACATGTATATCTGTCATATCTGATACTTATGGATTGATTTCTCTCATTATCTCACCCAAAAAAGATGTGGAGTTTGTTGAATCTATTTCTTTTATTTCATTAGTATTTTCTATAGAATATTATTGAAATACGGATATCAAAGCAACTGGAATCTGTGTTGTCCTATGGATCTTTTTTGTTTTTTTAAAAAATCCCCTATTTTTACTTTCTTTTTGTAAGTTAGTTTTTTTGGCAGTACTTGATTGTGCTGTGCTTGTACGGATTATTTCTTAGAGGTAGTATGATAATTGAAACTATGGATGGGTGCCATTAAATAGACTCACATGAATTATATGATATTGTGCTCAAAAGTTTATCTTTAAATTTTGGACCCCAGACAGGAAGATATAATACTGACTATGCTTTGAAAGCTACTAGTGTAACAACAGCCCCCATGAGCTATCCTCTTTAATGATGTGCTGTAATATTAAAATGTAATAAATTTTGAATCTTTTGCATTGCTTTCTAATTGTGAGCTGTTTTCATATTTATTGCTGTAATTCATCATTTTAAAAGGTTTCATATGTTTTTTATTAAGCGGGGTTTTTCCACAACAACAACAGCAAAATTTTACTAAAACGATACTCTAGGAGAAACAAAAAAAACAAGTTTACTACCAACACCACAAAATCTGGTCTCTGCGAATTAAAGAAGTTACTTTTTTGGCCATGAGTTATTATTTAGTAATATACTCTGTACTTGTTATTATTTCGTTTATTAATACGAGAGCTAGGAATGAAATGAGTTTTTTTTAGTAACTCGCTGAATTATGATTAGCTATTTAGCAGAATAAAAATAAAAAACTTATTAAATACCAGGAAGACATCTTAGAACATCTTGAATAGTCTGGATTGTGAATATTCAACATAAGACATATGCTTCTAAAAGCTGGAGTTTGATTTTTAGTACACTAGTAAAGTAGTAAAGTACTTGCTAAAAATGTGTCTGGAATTGATGAATTTGCGTTTTTTTAAAACTGCAATAAAAATGTGTTTTTAGTAGATTAAAACAATTAATAAGTAGAACATGGTGGTAAAGGGACCATTTATATTTATTTCTTCATAAAAAGTGGTAACTTTTGTACTGTTTTTTCTTGTTACCGGCTGATTCGCCTTATGCAGTCAAATAGATTAGTATTGTGTGATAGCCTGATAGGGCAAATAAGTAAGGAGCCAAATGGGCACTTGTGTTTTTTAATGAACTATGTCATTTGGAAATATGACTTTCACAGGTCTTATGTGATTAAAAGATAAAACTGAAATGGTAAGCCTGGTATTTTGTAGATGGACAGGGCTTCGATATTAGGGGATGCAATCGAATACTTGAAGGAACTTCTGCAAAAAATCAATGATCTCCACAATGAGCTGGAGTCTACTCCACCTTCCTCAGCATTAACCCCTAACACAAGCTTCTACCCTTTGACCCCAACTGCTTCTTCATTACCCTTCCGCCTCAAAGAAGAAATCCTTCCAAGCTCATTTACAAGCCCGCTGTCAAGTCCTACTGGACAGCCTGCAAGGGTAATGACTCTTTTACCCTAAAAAGAATTTAAGTAGGATGAAATCCTTTGGTAAAAAATTTTATGTGCTGCTTATAGGTTGAAGTAAGGGTTAGAGAAGGAAAGGCGGTGAATATCCATATGTTATGCAGCCGCAAACCAGGCCTATTACTCTCAACAATGAAAGCTCTTGACAACCTTGGTATAGACATCCAACAGGCTGTCATTAGCTGCTTCAACGGGTTTGCCTTGGATATCTTTCGAGCAGAGGTAATTTTAGATATTTGGTGAAAAATATCACAAACCCAAAAATAATCAAATTAAACTACACATTTTATTATTTCGCAAGTGCCCCTTATTGATGATAAGCCATGCCACCACCAGATAAATAATAAAATACAGACCAACATATAAGACATAGTGATACTTCTCTTATCATTTGATCTTTTAGAATAGATCTCCAAGTCTTAATAATTGTTATACTCTTCTGAAATCACATACAAAGTACTCTATACTGACACAGTTCTGAGCTATATACTGTATATACCCTTTAATATAATCACAATATTGAATATTTCAGCTTTTATATGAACTTGAATATTAGAGATTTCTTGTATGTATTACTTTTTTACTTTCTGAAAGTAATTTGAGATGGCCTCATTCTTCCAGCAATGCAAGGAAGGTCCAGATGTCCATCCTGATCAAATCAAAGCTGTACTTATGGACTCAGCAAGCTTCAATCGGATGATCTAATAAGCTTTGGAGGAGCCAGTAGAATATTTTCTGATGCAAGTCACAGGCATCTTTGTTGTCCAGATCATCTCGCTGTTCCTCTTAGTCTGCATAACCTCTGTAGTTTCAACATTTCAGCTTAGCACCTTAGCTTCAACCATTTATATGTTTCGTCTTTTCCCGATAGGAACGCCATTGTTATTTGTTTTGTTAGTTCTGGAAACTGAGCATGTAGAATATTACTATTCTTACCTGGTTTTAAGCCGCTTTCTCGAAAGATTTGTTCGATGACCTCGTGGTGTGAAGTTAGGCACCTTGTAGAGCATGTCTCTACTGAAGTGCAACTTCTCATTCTCAAGTTAATTAGTTTGTGCTCACCTGGATGGCTGGATCTTATCAAACTATCAGATGTATTTCGAGTCAGTCTAACACAAGAAAAAACATCCCTTAAATAAGTGAACTAGGTAATCTACCGCAATAGGACATTATTAATAGATTGAATTTTGGACAAAAAATATGTATACTTATCCTCCAGACACACACACATACATATATATTGGGGGTGTTTGGTAAACGGCGTTTCAGCCGAAAAATGGCGGTTTGACCACTTTCAGCGTTTTCAAGAAGTGAAAACGTTGTTTGATAAATAATGGTTCGGCACTAGCCTTTTCGGACGAAAACGCTGAAATTAAACGTTGCTAATAGGAGAGTTTTGGATTAGCGTTTCGAAAAATGACGTTTTCTACTAATTTTACGGTCAAACTACTAAATTACCAAACATCTTTTAACAACCCGTCAATTTATTCCGTTAGTCAAACCTGCTGACTGAATCAGCTAGCAACAACCCGTTAACATGACTTGCTATCCACTAACCGCTATCCACTGAATGCCAAACATGCCCATGATTCATCTAAATGGTGAAATGTGCATTTATTCAATACAAAATGAGATTTTTCAAATACAAATTGAGCATCTTTTATTTACTCAAATGGGTATCGTATGAATGAAAAATGTATTGAAAGAAATTATGATCTTGACAAAATGAGCATTCAGAAATTGTTAAAAAACTATAAAATACTCCTAACCCAAATTATATATAGTAAAATTTCTCTCTATATACTTCGTATGATAGAAGGTTCGAGTGAGAACTATAGCTCTCTATAACTCCTAAACAGAAAGTCTTTTATAAATAGGAATTTCTAATACAGCAAAGGAAAACAGTGTGTAGGGGAAAGCAATAAAGCATCACTAGGGCATATGAATCAAATCTTCACCTGTGAAAAAACTATTTCTTTATTACTCAAACTAAAAAGATTTCTCTTTACATATTTACACACTGTCTATTTTTCAGTTGAACTCATGTATGTGAGTAATGCTACACATATAACCACTTTTGTGCAATTTTTTCTTGTACAATCTTCACACACAAAACATTTTTGCTCATGAAGACAAGATTTGTTTGTGTGATGTCATTTGAGAAAAATTATTATTCACATGAAGGTATTCAATAAATATTATTATTCATATGAGTGTGCATTTAGTTTGTATTAATAAAAACCTAATCTACATGGAGGTGGTACATAAATGATCACTCACGATTTTTTTTAAAGATAGAATGACATAATATCACTCGACTTTTGAAAGATAAAAATATGATCAATATATTTTCAAAGTGTGACTAACATTTGTTTGAATGATTCAACTTCCTACTTCATCTACTCCCTAGTCAACTATTGGGGTGGTTCAGTTTTTCAGTTCGTTTTTTGTCCAAAATCAAATGTGAAATTGAAGTAAAACGTTTGGTTTGGTCTTGCATTCCAAAACATGAAGCCATGATTTTATTCGTTCAAGATATTTCGATTTGGTTTTGGTTTTTCTTACAAAAAATGCCGTATTTTTTTTATTATTAAAAAGTGATACAATATCTGGGAAAAACTCAAACCTACAACATAAACAAAATAATACAAAAACAGAGAAAACAAATATATTTGCTAGAGTGAGAACACATATTTTGTGGAACAAAATGTATAGCTAGATTATATATTGTATACAAAAGTTAAAGAAGTTTTATTTCTACAATTTTTGTGTGTTTATTCACTTTTTTTATTTCATAATATTTTCTTGACAATATCACGTAAGAACAATTCCTAGACAAAAGTATATGTATTCCCAATTTACAACTTTTTTATTTAGTTCGAAAAAGTTCATCAATATATACATTCTATGAGTTACAATTGAGATCAATATTTATTTGTTCTCTCAATATAAAACTTTAAGATAGAGAAAATAAAAATTACCCTTAATAACGGTAAAAGTTTAATGTATCACCACCACACAACAAAACTACAAAATACATACTTAAATTAGTAGAGCAGTATAGTTGTATTAATGTAGGGAATGAAAGTGCAATGATATATGTAATCTTAACATTTTAAATGCCACAATAATTTTTTAACACAGTATTAAGTATCACACAAAATATTAATTTTATAGCACTACAAAATAAAATACTAACAATGATATTAGGATTATTATTTAACGTTTACAAAAAAAATTCCATACTTCAATTAGTATGGTTTATTTGGTTCGGTTTGGAAAAGCCGAAATTGAAACCAACCCAAAGAACTACAATTCAGTTTGTTTTTTGCATTGGGTTTTAGGTTTTTGTGATCCGTTTGATCAAGTTACAGTTCTATTTATTTTGATTCACAAGTCCAGCCCTATGCAAATGTCAACCCATCATTTCCCTCAATTGGCGATCACATCCAAAAATTGTCGTTGACGACCACATTTGACAGTCGCAATAACATATTCTACCATCCGAGTGACATCAACAAAATTTTTAAGGAATCCCATATGACTTCCTTAATGAATGGTAATGATGTTTTCACAATACCTCATATGACTCCATAAGAGTCATATAGGATTCCCTAAAACTAATCGTGTCATTGAATCATTGATAACAGTCAAAGGGATATTGATAAAAAAAAATAGTATCATTATAATTTAAGAGGTCTTTTTTATTGCTAGTAACATTATAATCTAGCGATAATGTTTATAGTTTTATAATTTTCTTTTATCGAAAAAACATTATTTATTCACTACTATATACTAAACTGCAACCTTCAATTAAATGGGGTGTTTGAAATTGATTTTGTTGATTTTTTAAAAACAGGTGAATCAAAATCAATTTTCAGAAGCTAGTCTCCCTCAACTTCTAAAAAATTGTTTCTAGTAGCAATTTGGAGCATTTAGAAGTAATTTTGTATTTTCACCCTAACACTCAAATATCTGATTTGAAAAAGTTTCTAAAAGATCCATACACCTAAAAGTTCAACGATTTCTGCTGTCCACCGAGACAAACTTACTCGCACGGGTAGCTTAGTTCGTTGAGTAGTGGGAAAGTTGGAACAATAACAAAAAAATCAAAACCCGCAACACCCATGTGGAGGTTACAATTCATGTGTGCTGGACTGGATCTCTGGTGCGCATAGGTACAAGGTCTACCATCATTGGGCTGACTGAGTCACTGTGACATCCACCCTTTCAACCTTTCATTTGGACTAAAATTTATTGGCCTGATATAGACTGATCTGGATTGTTTAAGCCCAGTGTAGTGTGGTTTGAACTTGTGTGGTCCGGTAAATATCTGATCTCTGTGTATTATATTTATATAACTATGAAAGTTAAGTTTGATCTAATATGATATGTTTAAGTTTGGTCTGATCTGTTTCAATTTAATATGGTCTAGTTGGTTTGGTGACTTGTGAGGTCTAATATGGTTTGCTTGGGACCGAAAACCCTCAAAAAACACCCTAGGAACATTAAACTATTTCAAGAGGGTGTGTAGTGCATTAAGGATGTTTTTACTTGGACTGTAATTTGCTGGTCTGGTCTGGTCTGGTCTGATCTGGTCTGGTCTGGTCTGAACTGGTCTGGTCTGGTCTGGTCTGGTCTGGTAAGGTCTGGTTTCTTTGTATTTTTATAACTATCCAAGTCTGGTCTGGTCTGGTCTGATCTGAACTGGTCTGGTCTGGTCTGGAGCAAATTACAGTCCAAGTAAAAACATCCTAAACCGATATTTCAATTTAATATGGTGCTATGGGGGTGTTTGGAACTGATTCTGCTTCTGCTTCTTTTTTAAAAGCAGAAGCAGAATCAGAATCACTTTTCAGAAGCTGGTACCCCCAGCTTCTAAAAAAACTGATTATGAGAGTAAATTAGAGCTCCAGAAGTGCTTCTGGAATTCCACCCAAACACTCCAACTTTTACTTCTGCTCTCTGAAGAAGCAGAATCAGTTTTGAGAATCACATCCTAAAAGGCTAGTATGGTTTCCTTGGCACCTAAAAGGCGAAAACCCTCAAAAAAACATCCTAGGAACATGGAAACCCCGAACTTGTTTTTGCTGACCACAAACCAATATGCTTCGTTCGCACAATCCCAATTCCCAACCAGACACTTCTGCTTACAGTGTACAAAGTAGAAAGTAGAGAGCAGAAGAGGGGGAATTGTAAGTGCTAGGATCGTATTCAATTCGACTAATTACATTCCAGAAGAAAAAACAGGGGAGAAGCAAAAGAGGATGAATAAGTCGTTATCGCATGGAATCCATAATTGGAAGAGTTTGCAATCGATAGCCAAGAAGATTGCTCACAAATCAAAGCGTTTTTTCAGCACTTCGAAAGAGAACGAAGCAACAGCTGAAGACGTCTGCAAAATTTTAGGGCTTAAGAACTGGCAATTCCTCTTAGATTCATCGGGAGTGCCATCAAAACTCAACCCGGACGTGCTTTACTCGGTGCTTCACAGAAGCAGATCGGCTGTCCACCCAAAGCGCATGCTTTTCTTCTTCGATTGGTCCTCCCAGAAAATGGGTATTCCTCCGGACATAAATTCTTTTTCTATTCTTGCTGTAGCATTATGTCATTCCAACTTATACTCGGCAGCATCTAGTTTGTTGGAGAAAATGATTGAATGCCGATTTTGCATCTTGGATATTTTAAGCTCATTGAGGAAGCACTTTGAAGAATGTGGTAGGTCTACATCAAGTTCCCTAGTTTTTGAGTTGCTAATTGTTGCTCTGAGGAAAAAGGGCATGTTGAATGAAGCTGTTTCAGTGTTTTTGGGTGTTAAAGATGTTGAGCCTGCACCTGGTTTGCTTTGTTGTAACTCATTGCTGAAGGATTTAATTAAGGGGAATACAATGGAGATGTTTTGGAGTGTTCATAATGCAATGGTGGAGAGAAATATTGCTCCAAATGCTTACACTTGTACTACTGTTATAAATGCTT